AGGAGGAGGAGGAGGAGGAGGAGAAGGAGGAGAAGGAGAAGGAGAAGTGGAGGAGGAGGAGAAGAAGGAGGAGGAGGAGGAGGACCACGGAAGTTGTCTTCTCACTACTTTTGGACCAATGGTGTGCTGTGGTGTGCACATGTGCACTCTGATGGGGAACTCGGGCCCATCTATGCAGGAAGGGGTGTAAATAAATGGAGTAAGAGTCTCTTTGTATCAAATTGTCAAAGCTCACAAACTACATTTTGCTAACTTGTATCTCAAGTCCCTTTATAACAGCTCTCCCTCTGACCCTGCTCCTTTTTCCTGGTGTCATTTAAAATTTTTAAGTAAATTAAGAAAAACATTGAGCCAGGGATGCTATTTAACCAAGGCTGTTGGCCAACTGGGAACTTAACTGTCTTAGCCTGCTAGGAAGCTGAGACTGTAGTGTTCCACCACGTCCAGTGTCTTGACTTTTACTTTTGAATAAAGACTGTTTATAGTTTGCAGTTCTGCTTTCTGGTTCTGGCTGATGGCTTCCAGGTGTGTTATCCAGCAAGCTTACTCACTTGGCTTCATTATTTCTTTTCTTTTTTTCCCTTTCCCCTTCTCCCTCTTAGGTCCAGCCCCGCTCGCTCCGCCTCCCCCCCCTTCCCCCCGCTCATATGAGGGCATCAGATCTCATTACGGATGGTTGTGAGCTACCATGTGGTTGCTGGGACTTGAACTCATAGACCTCCGGAAGAGCAGTCAGTGCTCTTAACTGCTGAGCTATCTCACCAGCTCGGCTCCGTTATTTCTTAAGTTCTTAAACTGTCTGGATTTAGATCCCCCCCACCCATCCACCCCCCCCCCTCACCCCACCCCATCCCATGCCCGGATCTCCACGCATTGCATCAAAGTGTATCTTACTTTGGTGATGTTAAAAGTTGCACGCCTGGACAGAGTTGAAAAGTCTACAGTCTTTTTGAGTAGATAGCCACCATTTACTGTATGCCTAAGGCATCCCAGGCATTTTGTTCTCATTTGTCACCCTGCGGCTTACTCTATAAAACTCAGATTTGCAGGATCTGACCGGCAATTTTCTGGCTGGAAGCCAGTACATAGTTTCTCAAGCTTGCACTGAATGTGCAGCTTGAAGGACGGGTTAATGACCCTGGTGCATTTTTTCCCCTTCTTCTTCTTGCAGGCTTATTGTAAGAATTATTTCAAATAGCGAAAGTGCGAATACCCAAAGTTAAACATGCTACGTTTTACTCGATGAAAAGAAAACGAAATCCCCACAATAAGCCTCTGACCGGCTCATTTACACATGACGCCTTCCTTGGGTATTTTTCCAAAGAAGACACCTTGCCAGGCTCGGGAGATAACAAGAAGACATAGTGGCCAGTGGCTGCCGGCCGGAAGGACTCTCGCGGCTTCCTGAGCTGATTCCTGAGAAGCTGCCACCAGGGCTGGGACTTTGGCCGCAGGGCGCGGGGCGGCGGGCGCCACCTTGGCCGCTGTGCAGCGCGCAGGCCCCGCGGTCCCCAGGCGCGCGGTTCGGTCCCCAACGAGCCGGTCCTCCATTCCGGCATCACCCACCGACGTCTGGCGGCTCCTTCCTGCCGCCGCCCTGTGCAGCTGCGACTTCCCGGAGGCGCCGCCGTCCCAGGTCCGGGTAAAGGCGCAGGCGGTCCCCAGAGGATGGCTTCCGCGAGCCTGCTGCCGCAGCTATGCGTAGGTTTCCATCTTTATTCGCATCCGCTTTTCCCAGGCACCGGCCGCGGAGCCTCCCGCAGCTGACGTTCCACGACGCAGAGCGCCGGCTTTGGAGGGCTCCAGGTTTCCCAGATGATTGACACCGGGACTCCCTACCCAGCGCTGGGACTGCAGTTCCAGCCCGGGTCCTTCATGGCCGGGATCGAGGTCCCAGGGCGGGTGACGGGATCCTGGGGCTCCCCGAGTCTTTGCTTCCACGGCTTTGCGTCCTGCAAAGCGCTGGGATAAAGTAAGGTAAAAGAGTGGGTTCTGCGGCCCTGCCATATGCACACTTCAAGGTCGACTGCCGTTTCTTTTTAAGTGTTCGGAACTTCATGGCTCCTGTATCCCAGCAAGTTAAATCTCTGATTAAACAGCTTTCTGGAAACATTACTCACCGAGAGAGGTGTAGGGCTATCTCAGTTACTCCTCAAATTGGAAAAAAAAAATCATTTACTTAATATACAAATTTTCACATGTAAATAGCGATTTATGAGACTGTGTTAATAATATATTTAAAATTATAAACAATCAAGAGAGGTGCATTTAAGTATTAATTTTTATGCTGTTTTGGAGGAGGGTTTAAATATTTGATGATAGCTTTGACATTAAGACTCAGCCAGCGAAGGAAAATATTTTGCTTTCAGTTGTAGATTGTGGCAATTCGTATGTGTTGGGTAGTCTGGAACAGCGCTCTGTATATTTCATATAACTATGTTCTATATAGTTCAAAAGACTTGTGTGATTGTTTCTGTCAATTTGGTACAAACTTAGATATATTTGGGAAGAGGGAATCTTAACAGATAAAGTGAGCCACTCCCTCATCCCTGTCAGACTGGTCTGTAGGCAAGTCTGTGGGGTATTTTTCTTGATTAATGTTTGATGAGGGAGGGCCCTGCCTACCGAGGCGCCCCTGAACAGGTGTATATAAAAGCAAAGTGAGCAAGCCAGGGGGAGAAAGTCAGTCCATGGTCTCTGCTTCAGTTCCTATCTCTGAGTTCCTTGAGTTCCTGACTTGTTTTTTCTCAGTGGACTGTAACCGGAGATATGTAAGACAAATGAGGCCTTTCTTCCCAAGTTGCTTATGGCTATGGTGCTCATATAAAAACTGAACCAAGATGACTTGATTATGATATAAGGAGGAACCAGAAGTGTTCTCCACTGAGCCATATTTCCAACCCTAGAAAGCATAGGTCTTGACAACATAATGACAATCATTAAAAAAAAATCATCTTTCTTTTCACTTGTACAGTCAGGTCGCTTGTTAATAGTTCACTAAGTAAACTCCATTTTAGCATCAAAACACATTTTTCTTTTTTGTTTTATTTCAGATGATTGTAGTCTGATTTTGGAATGCAGAAGCCAACCTGGAGTCTTGGTACTCAACTCGGCCTAAAAGTAGCATTCTTTAAAAGGTGAGGTGGTTTGTTGACTCTCTGGGAAAGCAGGGCTCGAAAAGGTGCCCCCCTCCCTCCATCCCTCCGTCCTTCCCTCCCTCCTTCTCTCCTCCTGTTTGCAGGGTCTGTTAGAATATTTGCCTAGCATTTGAGGTCCTGAATTTCATCTTCAGGAGAACACACACACACACACACACACACACACACACACACACACAAAGTCAAACCCTCAGACTCTTTTTAGTTAGGATTATGACTTCCCACATGCTTGGATCAATGGAGTGGATGGGGATGGGTGAACCAAGAAATGACTTCAGTTTGCTGCTTGTTTCTTTTGGAAAACTTTTCCCAAAGAGACTCAATGGATGGCTGTTATTACTTCCTCCTAAGGGTGAATGAGCCTGGCTTTTCCTCTGTAGAGTTATATACTGGATGAAAATATTGTTCTGTGTACCTACTTGTCTCTAAACCTTGTTGTCAAAGCCAAACCGGAGTAAGTTCTATCTCTCTACTTGTTGCTATGACTATAGTTTTGTTTTTAAAGTTCTCAGTGTCAGCCGGGCGTTGGTGGCGCACACCTTTAATCCCAGCACTTGGGAGGCAGAGGCAGGCGGATTTCTGAGTTTGAGGCCAGCCTGGTCTACTGAGTGAGTTCCAGGACAGCCAGGGCTACACAGAGAAACCCTGTCTCGAAAAACCAAAAAAAAAAAAAAAAGTTCTCAGTGTCAGATAATTTTGCAAGGTGGTGAGGAAGGATATATATTCTACACACACACACACCCACACACACACACCCTCTAGAGTTAGGATTGAGCCCCTACCTGGTGCATTCTAGGCACACACTCTATTGCTGACACAAACCCAAAGGCCTTTGCAAATTTTATTTTGAATTAGAGTTTGACTAAGTTGGTCAGGCTGACTTTGAACTTGTGGTTGCCCCAGCTTCCTGAGGCTAGGATTATAAGCACTTCTTTTTCTAGCTCTTTGACTATGTAAAAGGCATGGTGGCTTGGTGATGCTATTTCTAGACAGAATGAAGTCCTCCCCTTTTCCATTATTTCTATAGGATTGGGAAGCAGGGGCATCTTTTGCCTATAATACTGTAGACAACACTAAAATAGAAGTTCAGGAAGTCTGAGTGTAGGAAGAAAAATGATTTAAGGATCTAGTGTCTGAAGTCATCCAAGTGTATGTTTGTTCCTCTGTATCCTCAGCTGGCATCACCATGTAGTCCAGGCAGGCTTTGGAGCAATCCTCTGTCTCAGCCTCCAAAGTGCTAGAATTACAGTCACCAACCCTAGCCTCCCTCCCCCACCCCAATGATCATATTATACTGGAGATGATCTACATGGCCCTAAGGTTTTCCTCATGGGAATATGGAGTAGCAGTAGCATGCTAGCGGGCAATCTGGTCTCTTTTCGTCTTCTATCTCCCTGTCCCTCTTTCTTTCCTTGCCTCCAAGCCTCCTCTCATCAGATTGGTGCGAGTCTGATTTTTTTTTTTTTTCCTCTGTGGGAAGAAGGTAGACATTTGAAGGCAGGGATAGAGCTTTCTCCTTTGCTGTTGTGTATTCCTCCTCATTGATGTCTTACAGGTTAGGTCCTGCAGCAGTGTGAGTGGGACCTGCTGAGTGGGATCACTGGATAGGTTGAGCTGTGTCAGCGCCTTTGCCCTGAGTTTGGTGCAGGGAAGCTGGAGGCCTAAGCCTTTGTGTCTGTCCTACACTGACACCCACTCTCCAGCTTCCTGCTACCTGCTTGCTCATACCCATAGGTCCTTAGTCACAACTGCTCAAACAGGCTTCTCTGGTGAGAGGAAGTGGGTGTAGTGGAGTTGTCATCTAGTTATCATTTGAGGAGTGTCAGTCAGGTGAGAATCCACAGCAAGGTCACACAGGTGCTATTACCTCAACGTCTTTGGTCCTTCATTGTGACAGGCTAGAAGGATGGTGGCAGATGGGGGCCTGCTGCTTTCTCATTGTTGGTATCCACTCGGCACTAGCAATACAGGGAGGAGGTAGGTGGAGGATTGTTGCAGAGGATTGTTGTTCTTCCTGTTGCCTAGGCCAGCCCTGGTTTATGTTGTGAACTGAAGTTCCCTGGGAGGTGGGGGAAGCTATCCCTATCTTAAATATTCGACAAGTCTGACAATTGTGGATAGTTGGAATATTATAGACCCAGAACCACATTATCTTAGTCCTTTAAATAGGCATTTGCCTAACTCTGTTTGACCTAACATCCTTTTGACTCTTACTTGGTTAAATCCCTTTGGAGTGTCAACATGGTGGTTGAATGAGAATGCTCCCCAGAGGCTCATATATTTGAATGCTCGGTCCCTAGCTAGTGGAACTGTTTGGGACAGGTTAGGACAGGTGGCCTTGTTATAGTAGATGTGACCTTGTTGGAGGAAGTGTGTCACTGGGGGGTGGGATTTGAGGTTTCAAAAGCCCAGGCCAGACCCAGTCTCTGCCTGCTGTCTGCCAATCAGAATGTAAAGCTCTTAGCTATTGCCCCAGTGCCATACCTGTCAATTTCCTGCCAAGATGATCATGGGTTAACTAACCCTCTAATACTGGGGGCTGGAAAGATGGCTCAGTGGTTAAGTAACACTGAATGCCCTTCCAGAGGTCCTGAGTTCAATTCCCAGCAGCCATATGGTGGCTCACAACCATCTGTAATGGGATCTGGTGCCCTCTTCTGTTGTGTCTGAAGACAGCTACAGTGTACTCATATACATAAAATAAATAAAAATTTAAAAACCCCTCTAATACTGTAAGCAAACTCCTAACTAAATGCTTTCCTTTATAAGACTTGCCTTGGTCATGGTGTCTCTGACACCATGGTCAATAGAACACCCAAGATGTGTTTAAGAACAAGACACCCTGTCTTCCAGTAACCCCAAAGCTAAGAATGTCATCAGATAACATCTGAGCCCGACAGCAGGGGATTCCCAGCTTTTCAGTTGCCTACTTATCTGAGGTTCCCACCAATGTATTTTGAAAGTATCTTTGTTCAGTTTCTATAAAAACCTTTGTGAAATCCTCACCACATTGTATTTGGGGTTCCTGGGCTGTGATCAGACATAGTTAGCTTTAGAATAAGCTATCTCTTATTCCTTTCCATGTGAGAGCTGTGGTGTTGTTTTTCCTCATCCATGTCATGTCCTTGTTCCTGTGATTATTCATGCTATTGTTCTACACTTAAAGGTGTCCCTAGTTGAGAGAGAGAGAGAGAGAGAGAGAGAGAGAGAGAGAGAGAGAGAGAGAGAGAGAGA